CACAACTGTCTCCCACTTTTAGTGGGCCTTGTTTGGGCCTATGCAGGTTTGCCTACTATCAGTCCAGAGTCAGTGAGCTCCCACTAGCTCAGGTCAGCTGTTTCCATGGGTGTCCCCATCATAGCCATACCCCCTTACTCATATTATTGCTCACCCTCTCTGGAACTGGTCTCTGGTAGCTTGGGCCAATGCTTCACTGTAGATCTCTATATCTGTTTCAGTCAGTTGTTGGAAGAAGGCAGAACACCCATTTTAAACAGCCTTGGCCATGACTTACGTTTGCTCTTCAAAGCGTAGGCTGAGCTGTGGGTGTGTACACTTAGCAACACTGAGATGGGCAAACAGAGGATGCTCAGCATAGGAGGCTGAGGGGAGTGGGAGGGTGGGGAGCATGTTGGCTAAGACACCCAACAATAGGGCCTTACCTCTAGCATCTGGGAGGCAGCCAAGGTAATGGCAGCTTTCTACACTGTTGTAGGAGCTTCTTGGACCCCCTTGACCAACAACTTGAAGGGAGGATTCTCATGCCTGTTATTGGGGGTTTTTTAGATAGCCTATGGCTCTTGGGACAGGGTGCATTATCACACAGTTTGATCCTTTTAAGCTACATGTATGTGTGCTCATGCACATGAAAATATACACACATAATATTACATACACATGTTTTAAATATTTATTTATTATGCATACAATATTCTGTCTGTGTGTATGTCTGCAGGCCAGAAGAGGGCACCAGACCTCATTACAGATGGTTGTGAGCCACCATGTGGTTGTTGGGAATTGAACTCAGGACCTTTGGAAGAGCAGGCAATGTTCTTAACCACTGAGCCATCTCTCCAGCCCCACATACACATGTTTTAAAGTAAGCTTATAAATTAATTTATTTCCCTATGGCTTTTCAAGCACCCATAGTGCTGTTTCTCTCTCTTTGGCCCTGAGTACCCTCCATCCCCCTTTGCCGTCCTATTCCCTTCTCTGGAGCTCCTTGTCCCTGCCCACCATTGTTGAAATAGGAGCGTATGGGCTGCGTCCCCAACACCCCGGCCGCTTGCATGGCAGGCTTATGCCCAGAAATAATTACACGGAAACTGTATTCTTTCAAACACTGCCTGGCCCGGCTAGTTCCAGTTTCTTATTGGTTAGCTCTTACATATTGTTCTAACCCATTTCTAATATTCTGTGTAGCCCACAAGCTGGCTTAGCAGGGAGGATTTTAACCTGTGTCTGTCTGGAGCGGGAGAATCATGGCGACTCTTTCACTAAGCTTCTTTTTCCCAGAATTCTCTTCTGTCTACTCCGCCTACCTAATTTGCTGTCCTATGAGGGCCAAGGCAGTTTCTTTATTAATAAGAAATCACTCCCACATCACACCATGGTCAAGTTCTATGTTCTAGCCTCTTCAGTTACTTTAGGTTATGTCCTCAAGTCTGTGAGGACTCCACATAGTCCACGCAGGCCTTGGGGGCATCGAGCTGGAGCTGTCATGGAAGACTCCTCCCTGAAGGCTGGTTCTCATACATGGGAAGGCACTGTTCAGACTGCAGAGGAAAGAAATAATCAATAATGCTACGCAGTTTAAAGCCCACGAACCATAACAATGACCAGTCTGCAAGATATCTCCAATGGTGCAATTATTGGCACTTTTATCTAAAGGATAACCAATAGCTGTCTAATTGGACTCAACAGGATGTAAATTCATGCCTGGTTCTATAAATCTAGCTGCCTACTCATGGTCAGTGAGGCCATGAACCCCAGGGTAGAACCCACCTACCAGTTTCCTAAGTCAGCTTGGTTTCTAACTGAATTCTAAATGCTTCTCCTTATACTGACAGAGGTGCGCCTCTCACCTCCCTTCAAGGAAGCTCCTCTGTAGGTGCCAGAGAATCCAAAAATGGTGGAAATGCAGAGAACGAGTGACTGTGGGGGCCCAGACCAAGTTAGTACGTCTGCAATGCTACCCCTATACCTAACGCTCAGGGAAAGGTATGGAAGAGGAGTAGAAAAACCATCAAGGCCAGAGGGCCAGGATGTGTGCTGCTAGATAGTGACCTAGAAGCGAAGGGAATCTGCACCCATGAAACCTCAACACTACAACCATCTGAACAACACCTGCATAATGACAGCACAGTTAGCAAGCTGATGTGGGCAGACCCAACCCTAGAAGAGCTGCTAAGAGGAAGAATCAGTCTTCTATGAGGCCAAGTCCCCATAGGCCACTACCTCCCCCAACGAGTCAGACATAAACACATATCATAAGAGCACACTGCATGGGCTCAATGTGCACGCATGTGTGTGTGTGTGTGTGTGGTGTGTGTGTGTGGTGTGTGTAGAAGAGGTCATGAACGTGACACTGAATGAGGAATTGGAGAGAGAAGAGGGGGAGTAGAAATTATATAAATATAGTACCCATATATGAAATTCTAAAAAGTGACTCTACTAAGTATGGAGAGGTGGTGAACCTGACTTGGTGGTCTAATGAATTGGGGGGAGTAGCTTTAGCAGTTGCTGGCATTCTATGGTCTACAGATTGTCATATACCTTGCCTAACTTATAATTCCTTAAACACTCATCAGTACAGTCATAAAACAGGGAAATGAATGTGTGGACGAGTCGGACCTGCAGGTCAGGGAGAGGATGAGGAAGTAGAGGTGAAGCTGGGAAGGGAGAAGGTGAGGAAGTAGAGGTGAGCTGGGAAGGGAGAGGATGAGGAAGTGGAAGAGGTGAGCCTGGGAAGAGAAAGGGCTAGGGAGTGGAAGACGTGAGGCTGGGGAGGGAGAGGGCGAGGGAGTGGAAGAGGTGAGGCTGGAAAGGAAAGATTCCAAATCCTTCTCTTGCAGAGTGAAGCGCAAATAGATGGTGGCCACAAGCAGAAATGTGTGTCCACTGGAGACATGGAAGTCTCACGGCGGCGACTGTTGAAATGTGATTAACAGATCCAGGGCCGGGGACAGGTGGAGAGGAGGAAATGATTCTTGCCCCAGGAAGCCACACATCTCAGATGGAACTAGTAGGACCAAAACCAATCCTAAACTAAAACTAAGGTTTTCCCTTGAAAGTGGCAAGGCTGCAGAGATAGGTCAGCAGTTAAGAGTGTACACTGCTCTTGCAGAGGACCTAAGCACCCAGCATCCCCATGGGGTGGGGGTGTTGTGGAGGACAGAGGGAGAGTTGGGTGGGTGGGGAAAGGGAAAGATTGAACAGATCACTAACACCTATAACTCCAGTTAGCTGCAGATGGAGCTTCTGTGTCTCCTGATACACACACATACAAATAATACATCCATACAAACACAAACACACATACATATATAGAAACACACACATACATACAAACACACACATACACTCACATACATACACATACACATAAATTAAAAATAAACCTTTGGAAGCAGTATGATAACCATTCTGTGTAGATGGCATACTGTTAAAAAAAACTTTTTATAGCTAGATATATACTAGAGATATAGCTAGATATGTACTACTATTTTTCCTGACATGGGCATTAGTCACACTTGTGATTTCCTGCTTAGAATCTACCTCTGGGTTAGAAGACCCTCCAAAACATCCTACAGTTCCTTCTAATTAGACCCAACAAAAGGTCTTGGGGGAAAAAAGATCTTCATGATCAATAAGAATCATTAGTTTCATTGTGTATTTATCCTAATTGGCTATATACTTTATTTTATGTATGCATTTACATACATCCAGCAAACAGGCACCTGGCAACCCCAAGTCCTGATTTTTCTCATGCTCTCATGCTCCGGTTCCCATAAATGTAACTGCTGGTCCAGAGCAGTGGATGTCCGGGATGTGGCTCCGCTGGGATGTGGTGTGGCTCCTCTGCAGAACGCAGGAGACTCTGAGTTCTCAGCAACATCAGACAAAGCAGAAGCTTGCACACTTGAAAGTCTGGGTGTGTAACATCAAATGCCTTCCAGATTTGTGATCAAACTTGCATTCCACCAGCAATGATACAAACACACATCAAACAAGGTCCTGGGAAGCCAATGTATCAGTGAGTGACGGGCCATTTCTAGATGGATTCTGGGCCGATGTGAGATGTTAGTGGTAAATTGTAAGATTGTTAATGTGATGTGCCTTGCACCCTGCCCTTGCTGTGGTCAGTTCTACACCATCCAACATGACAGCCACTAGCCCTGGGGACTAGTGATCATGGATGTAGCTAGTCTTCACTAAGATGAGAAACTAACTGTACACCAGATGTCAGTCTCTAAGCAACATAAGAAGGAAAATACCTTCCCCCTTTTTATGACAAAGTGTCGGATGACAGTGTTTGGGAAACATTAGGGGAAATTAGTTTTGTTCATTTGGTTGTTGCCTTGGCCATGCTGGGGATGGGACCCAGTGCCTTTCAAACGCCAGGGAAATTTCCTAGTAGTGAGCTGCACAGTTTCTGGTTACATTTCTAGTTTATAAAATATGTGGTCATTAGAAAATTTTAATTACACACGTAGTTGATACATTTTTCTATTGAATGTCATTGTACGATGTCTAATATCTTGCAAAGAGCTGTGGGTTCCACTTTCTTCCAGTTTGTTTTCTAACCTGCATCTCTCAGTGTTCCTGTCCTGGAACTCACTTTGTAGATCAGGTTGTCCTAGAACTCAGAGATCCACCTGCCTCTGCCTCCTGAGTCCTGGGATTAAAGGCCTGCACCACTATGCCCAGACAATTTTCATGGAACCACAATTTGAAATCTTGTTTGAATTTAGGGAATAAAAAGTTGTAGTTTCTAAAGTTTGCCAGTAGATGGCGATGTTACCATACTCGACTGGAAACCAAGCAGTAAATTGGCACTATTTGGAAGAGGAATTCTGTTTTCAACCAATTTGAGATTGATTGTTACCAGATAAATTAATTAAACTGAGAAAATGAAAGTAATTAGTATTTCATGAAAGAATGAATTTCGTTAAAATTTACAGATGGACCCAATATTAGAAAATTCTTTTCATAAGCCCATACATGAAATTGAAAACCAATATTTAAATTATTTTATTTTTTCCTGTAAAATCCTCTGAACTATGATCTTTAAAAGTAATTTGAATGTCTTTTTCTAATCTCTAGACATTGATTGTAGGGTAAAAGGGCCAGCCAAAGAAAACCACCCTCGCCCTGGAACCAGAGCTAGTGAAAGAAACACACCTTGGTCCTGAAACTAGAGTCAAAGGTTAAAAAGGGTCAGTGAATAAAACATTTTGTCTCTGAAATCAGAGCCAAAGAAACAGTCTGCCCATGACCAATTCAGTATGAAAACCAACCAATCCCTGAACAGGAAAACCAATCAATCCCAGATCACAAGATTGACCAATCCCTGAGCATGAAATCCAGCCAATCTCTGAGCTTGCCCAACCTCAGGGGTTGAAATCTAATCAATTCACACCTTGAAAATCTTTACCCTAGAAAAACTCCACCCCTAAGAAGTCCTGTACAAGCCCTGTGCCTGCTCAGTTGGCAGCTGATTTTTCTACCCGGTAAAGGCAGCCACTCTCCTGGATTCTTTACTCCTAATAAATCAGTTAAATGCGGTCTGGGTGAGACCTTCTTTCGCCAGAATAGAAAGGTGCATAGTAGTAACTTTTTACCGGAACCAGAGCAGAGCAGGACTGTAACAGTTTCCAGGGACCTGAGCAGAACTGTAACAACTTAGCTGGGGAAGCTCTCCCCTGCTGGGGCAGCGCTAGAGCGAGGCCATAAGCTGCTGAGCTTATAGAGACTTTGTGGCACTCTTTGGCCCCTGACTGCCAGGATCCTTTTCCATCCCAGCTGTAATGCTTAAACTAATGAATAAAATTTCAAATTGTCCTGATGTTATTATTTATAAAAGAACTTCACCCGGTCATTTATATAAAATATTTATAGCAAGGAAGACTTGGCAGTCAATATTTAATGACCTGTCATAGTTAATGGTCTAATAGCAGTTACTTTCATGAAATTGTTTTGAGGTTAGGTTCTTTCTAGATCCTTCTGGAAATATTTGGATGAAAATTTTGTTTTGATATGTTATTGTTAGTCAGAATTCTTGGTCCTGAATGATGTTCCTGTAATACACAGGGGGGACTTGGCACTGAGACCCACACATGGGATGTGGTGGTGATAGAGGCAGAGAGCTACATAGGGGTTTGGGTGGCCATCAAGATGGTCGAGGAGTTGGTGCTTGTCTAAAGCCTTCAGATAGAGTGTGGTCATGTTGACATCAGACGTCCATCCTCCACAGTTCTTAGAGAATGTTTCTGTTGTCTAAAGCCACCTCCTGTTTGCAGTAATCTGAGGATGCTGAACTGTGAACACCTTGAGTAAGAAAGGGACTGCTAATGAGTTGAGGAGAGATGGCACACCCCAGACATAGGTTTATCTTTTAAGCATCAGTGCTCTTGGCAAACTATCTTCTAAATGTTTTGTTGATTTGTTTTGTTTTCTGTTTTTCAAGGCAAGGTTTCTTTGTGTGGCTTTGGTGCCTGTCATGGAACTAGCTCTTGTAGACCAGGCTGACCTCAAACTCATAGAGATCCACCTGCTTCTGTCTCCCTCCCGAGTGCTGGGATTAAAGGCGTGTGCCACCACCCAGTCTAAGTCATTTTTTAAAGTTCTTTTAGGTCTGAGGAGATAATTCAGTGGTTAAGACCACTGGTTGCTCTTCCAGATACCCAGGGTTCCATTTTCAGAACCTCCATGTGGCTTGCCATTGTCCTTAACTCTAGCTTCAGGGGATCTTAACCACATTTAGAAGATAGTTTGCCAAATGCATTGATGCTAAAGTTCCAGCATCTGTTCTCCGGTGGGGCTACAAGGCTTCTCTTTGACTCTGCCTTCTTCCTCCCAGCATTCAATTTAGTTTTCCCCACCTACGTTTATTCCGTGTGCAGGCCCAAGACAGTTTCTTTATTAACCAATGGTATTCACAGCATCCAGAGGGGAATCCCACATCTCCATCCTACTGCTCACACTGGCTGCTAGTGACCTTCCCTGTTGACAGGGAAGACCAAACTTGACTAACCTCTACTCACACTCAGGTGTCCGATGCCCAACACTCACTTTTCTTCTTTGTGTTAGCCTTAAACAAAAGAGTAATCTCCAGCAGAGATGAACTTCTGAACTAAGTGAGGGGGACAAAAATAAAAAAAAAGAAAAAAAAAAGAAACTTTTGTGAAAGATCTGTAGGAGGAATCTGCACAGCCCATGATCAGCACCCCTCAAGTCGAGTCCTTGAACTCCGGGGCCCATGCCATCCTCTGCTTCAGGCTCCAAATGGGTGAAACTACAGGTGGGCCCAGCCACACCCAGCTATTATTTGGCTTCTTTTGTATGTGTTTTCCTTACCCATGCTGCCCATCTCTAATAGTACTTGCTGTTTTAAATCAGCCCCTCAAGCATAACATAATGATAGGGCTTGACATCACTGTGACATCACTGTGGACACTAGAGGGGTGTTTTATCATTCACGTTCGACTCCTGCAGAGTTGAGATATGAAAGTCAGTCTTAGTGATTTTGAAGTGAGACCCAAGGATAGCCACATCAATACTCTCAAATTTCATCTTGTTTTCACAATGAGATTCCTCCTTTACAAGGTCGTTACAAAGATGAGAGACAACTGACTGGGATCTCTGGCCTGTAGTGGATGCTCAGGGACCAGCAGGGATTGGGGGCCACTGTGACTTTTACCTCTAGGAATATTTAATGGCCAAGAATAACATTTTTCCCTAGGAGAAAAATGAAAAAGGCTTTACAGATATGGGCCTAGGGCTGTGCTTCTCAATCTTCCTATGACCCTTTACTCAGATAGTGGAGTCCCCCAACTGCAAAATTATTCTATTGCTACTTCATAGCTGTATTCTGGATACTATTATGAATCATAATGTAAATATCTGATATGCCACCCCGTGGGGGTTGAGTCCCCCATGTTGAGAACCACTGGCTTAGGGCATCAGAAGGGCTGATACTGTATAGAACTCTCCTCTGTATTGGAGACTACTGAGCATGAAGGCTTAGGAAAACTCACGAATGAACTCTGTTGGGAGTGCATTACTTTACTTGGGAATATGGAATGTTGCCTTTGTGGTGTATGGCAGTTATTTCTTACATGTAACACCCATGGGTCCCACAGACCCCACAGGTCCCACGGGTCCCACGGGGCTCAGGCCAATTCCAGGAGGCTCCGAGGTAGAGCCGCATTGCTGACTGAATGAAGGCTTTTCAGCTCACACTTTCTCCTGCCACATTTCGGGCTCTTCTTTGTCACGATGGCCGCTTGCAGATTGTGGCCCTGATGCTCTGTGCTTCTGCATTTTTACCACATTGTGGGTACTGTTGGGTGTTTTCTCTTTTAGTAAAACAGAACAGCACACATGTTTGTGCCATCCTTGGCCACTTCCCTTCATCTCCACAGTACCACCATGGCTCTCCAAAAGTCCTAGAGCTTCCATGTTTGCCAGCGGGGTTTGTTTCTGGGGACCGATTTCTAGTTGACTTATCAAGCACTGGTCCCTTACTGGTGGGGACAGGATTTACTGTTGACCCAAGGACACTTTCCCAGCACCTCCGAGTCAGCACACCATCCTGCTCTCAAAGAGTTCCTGTCCATTCCTGCTGGAAGAAATCCACGTTCTGAAAATGGTGTGTGAAAGCGCAAGCAGAGGCGTTCAGGAAATGGTCCCTGGAAGGGCTGGCTATTCAGAGGGACCAACCTATGAGCTACCTTCCCCAGGTGGGAGTGGAGAGGCTGATATTGCTGAGGCTAAAAGAAAACTGGAATAGAAAATTAGAGTCTTACACCCAAGTTCTGAGGTGGTGTCCTTTCATGCAGAGGCCTCTTCTATCTCAAAGAAAGGTTCTAGGCTGGAGTCAAACCTAGAACTTCAAGCTTCTAAGCCTAGAGAGCCTATTCACCACAACACAGTAAGCAGGCATAGTGTAGTAAAATCACAATATCCTGGTATTTCTAAGATAGATTTGTGCCGTGATGCCCATGAGTTATAGGATCCATGTACAACATGCCTGTTGAAATAAGAGCGGCGGCAGGGCTGTGTCCCCAACACCCCGGCCGCTTGGCTAGCTTATGCTCAAAATAACAACACACAAACTGTATTCATTTAACTGCTTGACCCATTTCTATCTAGCCTCTTCTAGGCTAACTCTCGCACCTGGACTAGCCCATTTCTAGTAATGTGTGTAAGCACCCCAAGGTGCGTTTACCGGGAAGATTCTAGCCTAAGTTCATTGTGGGTTGGAGCTGCCTGGGAGAGCAGAGCATGGCGTCTCTGCTCCAGAGAGCAGAGCTGTCCGGTCCCTCTGGAAGCAGAGCAGAGTCTGACCTCACTTCCTCTTTCGCCCAGAATTCTATTTTGTTTACTCCTCCCACCAATGCTTTAACCTATGAGGCCAAGCAGTGTGTTTATTACTTAACCAATGAAATCAACAGATTGATATATGACACTCCCACATCACATGCCTCCTTCTTTCTTGAGAAATGTAAAAGTGCCCGGAGTGCTATATGCCTTCTGCATAACAGTCAACCCATTCAGGTCTCTTGAGTGACATCCTGGCCACATGGATCACTTACATGATACTTTACACTCTGTAGTCTTTGAGGGGATCCACCCAGGCCACTTTGGATCACTTACTTGATACTTTACACTCCGTGGTCTTTGAGGGGATCCAACTTATGAATAAGCTAATGTCTCCCTCCAAGGTTCTTCTCCTGACCTAAATCTACCATTTGGGGACTCTTATGACATCCATTTTTTTTTTTTAGAGTGTCTCACTTGTCCCTTGCACAGTAAAACTGCTTTGTATTGGGATACTTCTTGTCTTAATAGAGACTGTATACTTTCTCTTTTAAGAAGAAGCTTGAAACTTTTGATTCTAAAAAGCACCACCATTGAAAAGATAGGCCCACAAACATGAATGAGAACTGAGCATTGCTGAATTTTCATGTCTTTATGTATAATGCTCTCACATGTGGCACCTTAACACTGTACTTTTAATAACTGTGGACACATGGTCAGAATAATATATGGAAATTATTCGTGATTAACTCTAGAAACCTGTGTGTGTGCCTGTGAATATGTCATATGTGTATGTACAGGATCATGGGAGCATAGGTATAGAGACCAGAAATCAATATCAGGTGTCTTTCTCTATTGATGTCCATTTATTTATTCATTCATTCATTCATTCATTTATTTACTTACTTATTTTTTGAGTCTCTCACTGAACATGAAGCTTAATTCAACATGAGTAGCTAGCTGACCAGTAAACTTAAGGGACCCTCCTGCATTTGCATCCTCGGTACACAGAACCACACCTAGATTTTTATGTCAGTGTTAGGGATCTGGATTTAAGTTCACGGTTTATTGGCCAAGCCATCTCCCTAGCCTCACATAGTATTATAGACCTACGTTCCTCTTCACAAAACTTGCCACAACATTTTGCTTTGGGCTGCCGCCTACTGCCATCTACAGGTTACGGGTGGGTTGTGTGGGATACCCTTCACTGCTCTAGTTTAGGTAAGCTGTAGAAATACCCAAGAGTACCAGGAGCAGAGCTGAAATTTTCCTAAGAAAAACAGTCATTTTACAGTTTCAAAAACTGCCATTGGCCAGGAATTGACCTTGGGAATAGTTTGCTTGGCACTAGATAGCTTATTTTCCCAGGATGACCTTAGGATATAATTTGGTAATGAGATCATTTGGCAACTTGGGCTCCAATACAGTGAAATTAAATAATTGAATTGGCAGTGGCTTTTAACTTACTCTTAGTTCTCCAATGTGGACTTTGGCCAAGATTATGAATAAATGTTTGGGCCTTTAAAACTTCTATTTTGTAATTATAATTTGAATAATATGCAAACAAAAAAGCTCTGTAGCACTGAGTGCCTTTATACGGGCAAGTAAATTCCTTCACTGTACCCAACAGTTCAGGCCCAGACTTGTTGTAATCTTTGAATCCATGTATTTCTTACTTCTCGTTTTAACTCCCGAAGCACACATTGTTTCTTGGTCATTTGAGGGCACAAAGGCTGATTTCTGCTTCATTTTTCCAACTGAATACAGATTTTTCAGAAAGAAAGGACCATGTTATATTTCTCCTTTGAATCTATTTGACATCAGTTTCAAGTGCAGCAGAGCCATCAGAATCCCAGCCAGCACTGGTTGGCTAACTAGTTGAAAAATGGCATTGTTTCAGACATAACTGTGTCACCAAGTCTAATGCCTGTTCTTGGAGTCCTTTCCACACTGAGCATTTTCCCTTGCTGGAATGTTTGCTTATATGTCAGAGTGTGATCACTGTGCCTTCCACTGGAACCCACAGTGGAAGGAAAAAACTGACTCCTATAGGAGCAGAAGCATGCACATGCTTACATACTACACACACACGCGCACAAAAATTCATAAATATACACATATACATACATGTAAGCATGTATGCATGCATACACAAATAAAATAAATTTAAAAGAATTCCATATTGCATGTTGTAATCTAAAATTCAGCCTCCTTCCAGCTAGTGCAGGAACAGGAATATGAAATGTCTACCTTAAAATACTCGGAAACATAAGCTCCAAACAGTTCCTGGGTTTGTCAGTTTCTATTTTTTCATCTAACCGTTTGAGCCTATCTCTTTTCTAGGTTTTGCCTTTATGTATCTATGTGCAAGTATGTACCTGCAAGCACAGGCGCCTGTGGAAGCCAAGAGAAGAAACTGGATCCCTTGGAGCCAGAGTTAACTGGTGGCTTTAGGCTACTGGACATGGATACAGGGACCTGAACTTGGATCTTCAGCAAGAACACTACTCATCTGCTCAGCCATCTTTCTCGTCCCCCAAATCTATCTTCACATATTACACACAGAAGCTGACCACTCATACAGTATAACATTACCAGACTACTATTGTAAGACTTCACTCAAGCAGACCTTTTCCTCGGGGGGTCACTGCCCAGTCTTCATATCCTCTGTCTGGAGTACTGTCTTCACTTAAAAACTCACCAAAAAGCTGATTAATCAATGTACAGCTAGTGACTGACTCATGAAGTTTCTCCATGTGTTCTACAAACAACTACAACCAATTTGTGCTTTTTCATGGGAAAAATTAAATCATTTAAAAATATTTATAGTTGATAAGTGGGGTGAGTTTCTGACCCGCGGCAGCAGCCCGAAGCCCCGGAACTCAGACGTCCTTCATCCCCCCCTATACTTCCTAGCCTTCCTGCAGGGCCTATACCCCCCCCCCCCCAATACTGCCTCTCTCTTCCTATCCCACCCAGCTTGCATCCAGAACCCT